GGTACAGAGACTTCGAATCTCGGAATTGGTATATGTTGGATCGAACGGATCAACGTCGGGAGAAAAACGTTGAGAGCGTCTTCAGAGACTGCGTGAGCTTTTCCGTTGAAGGCTCGGGATAAATCACCCGTAAGTTTCTTTGCGGCGCCTATCAGCTTGGCTACAGCTTTATCTCCAGGGACTGAAGAAAGCGCACGGCTCAATTGTTGTAAAAATACATCCACATCCTGACGAAGAGTAGAATCCGAGCCAATACCACGGCTTTTCTGTTTCAAGAGTTCAACCATTTCATCCGCTGAGTCGAAAAAGCCAGGGTCCGTCAAAAGATCCTGGAGAGAATTGCCGATGTCTTTCAGCAGTGATTCAAATTCTGTGTCTTTCTCAGAGTGCTTGACCACCACACGTAATTTCTGTTCAACAATCTGCCATTCTCGGCGGTCACCAAAGGATCCGATTAAGTTCCATAGGGTTAGAACTGCCTGCTTAAGCTCTGAGCTTGCTTCAGCCTCTTCCTCAGCAGCATTGACCGTTTCCCCTACAGCACGAGAGTAAATAATCCCATACTGCTTAATCAATTGAGTGATGGTCGATACAGAGGTGGCATAGTCGTCTCGCTGGCGTAGGTTCTGAACAGTTCTCTTTAGTCTATCGAGTAATGGGTTTTTGTAGTGCCTAAATACGTTATCCTCCGTGCTTTGAGCTGCAGCTTTACCCGTTTGAGCCACTACATCCAGTGTGCTTCTGGAAACATGCTGCAGGTCGTGGCCTAAATTCTCCGTTGATTGGCCTCCATTGCCTCCTAAGCCGCTTGGTTCCAGGTTAGCTCTCTCTTCATCTGAAGGCTCCACTTCTTCCGAAACTCCGGCAGCTGCGGAAGACAGTGCGGACGCGGTATCGGCAAACACCATCCGCCCAATTGTAACCAAATCGTCGACTAACCGCCGGAAGTCGGAATTTGTCAGCAAGAGGCTGGTAACAGTACGAATGCTTTCGCGAGCTAGAATTGAGGTATCAGAAGAATTTGTCAAAAGGTTGTGGTAGTAGAAGAAAAAACCCCTGAGAAGTATCATTAAATACCGGCAGCAGTATCCGCCTGAGCCTTTGCAAGTGTGCCTCTGGAAGCAAGACTTGCGGTATCAATCTCCACATTCAACTTGGACAGCTGCCATATGGCAGCTTGTAGCTGATCTTCGCCGTTCTTCTCTTGTAGAAGATCTATGACCAGACGAATGCAAAGCTTCAGATCCATAATCAATTCTCGACTGGTGTTCCCAACAGCAAGAGGTTCCGGGTTGAGAAGACTTGATACAAGGATGGCGCGTAGGTTGGAGACGATTTGGTATGTGGACGGCATGTAGCCACTACAAATGGCCTTGAGCATCAGGTAAGTGCGCAGTTTCTCATGCAGCTGATGCTGCAGGGCTGTATCTTCATCGTAATCATGATGTTGGGGGAGAAGTGGTTGTGTTTCACCACTGGTAGCTTTCCGCGATTTGCAGCAGGATGACCACATAGCCACTGGTGTGAACAAAGCTTCCAAAAGATTGAATATTTAGCTGGTAAGGAAGAAATCCTCAACCCAAACAATTGCTCTGGTGGCACGCCTCTCAGCATAAAATAATGGGCATGAAGAGGGGGAATGGTATGATGGATGAAGTGGAAGTGTCAGCAACAGGAATCTTGAAACGTGATGATGAGCTCACCGCAGTCTTGGCACGCTGGCATGGTGCAAGTGCCAAGAACTTCCAGAACATGGACTGTGTGGATTCCGTTGACAAACTGAGAGAGAACTGTCTTTGCTGATGGTGTCTGCGCTTCTTCCAGGTGAGTGAGCTTCAGAATCTAAGGGAGTCTATAAATAATAGCATCGGCTATGGCATTGTCTCGTAGAATTACGTCAAATATCACTCACGAAATGTTGCGAGAACTCCCGCCGTCTAGCTCGCCATTTGGCTCTTGTTGGCAGCGCCCTGTATTCAATTCATGCCAAGCGAGCCGCTGAGGTCCCATGGGTTGAAGGGCTTAAGCGCCAACACAAAAAAATTGTTAATTTGCAGGCCCCTATTGTAGGAGGGCCTTAATCAGTGCAAGTGAGCAGCATTGTACTCCGTAGGGGAGCTATAATACTACTTTGCAGTCGATAAAGAGGTTGGTCAGGCTGACAGCTCACACATTAAAACAGAGTTAGCAATTGGCTGAGAGCGTGGGAAGCGGAGAGTAGGTCGGCGCTCTCTTGCTAGAAGCCTATCAATATCAATACATATGTGCTCAGGAAGGTGCTTGCTGAGCAGGCCAATGATGATATCATCACTTTATGACGGTCGGAATCATTTCATCAGTGCTCCCCCGGCTTCAATGAAGAAGGATACCCAGCGTATACCAGCAATATCTCAACCCCATCATGGAATGGCACATCTAGATGCTTAGCATTATCGATTCAGCTCGCAGTAGGAATCGACGTAGCCAATCAACCATGCGTCACAACAGGCATGATTGTGCCTGCTGGAGGAGAACATTGAAGAATGGACCTGTACCATATTGGTAGGGCTTTAAGCTCATAATTTCATGCCGTGATATGTCATAATAGTGTTATAAAGCCAGTTCATGTAAATCAGCGCTTTCCGCCTGATTTGATGGTGCACTTCTGGCATGGCGCTATCGAGGGTTTGGCTGTTATACTGTGTAAGTGACATTTGAGTAGACCCTGAGCATAACAGCATTCTCAACAAGGGAACAAACCATTGATCAAGAATTCAATTGAACTTACTGGTTCAGTCAGGTACAATACATGAAGCTGTGCTCTATCGACTTTCACGCAATATCGCTGGCCCCAGAATTTTTTTCCTATTTGAAAAAATCTTAGACATCTAGGGAGTGTTCCCCCTCCGACAATCTTCTTGCTGTAATTTGTCTCAGCAGCAGGTATCCGACGGTACTGGGTGGTTAATCAATGTCTTGGGTTGCATAAACTGTTGGGAAATGGGCGACGTGGAGGCTCGACCTAAATATGCACCTAAAAAGGCGCTGGTTAGAATTTAGCCCCGTCATTTTGTCTGGCCGAGCTCTCAGTCTTGTGGCATCAGACATCTCGAAGGAATTCGCTGAAATGGTTTGAAATTTTCAAAATTTTCCTGCTTGACATCGTATAATTTCTACTGGTGCTAGCTGCACATGCAGTGGTTTCTAATTTTTGTTCGCAATATGATATAAGCCGAGTCTCCCTGGTTGACTAACCAGTTAACTACAGAATGGATCTGTTAAACGGAGAATGCTTTTCTTGAACCGTGAGGACATGAAACTGGATCGAGGAGAGCCTTTTTTTTCTCTTACGGAATCCGTAAACTCTAATACCGTATTTTTAGGCAACCCAGTGAGGCTGATGTTCGTCAGGACTGCTGACGAGAGGTTTCAATATCGACATCATCATCTAATTCTCTTTCCCCTTCCTCGTCTTTTTTTTTTTTTTTTGAAAAGAATAATCGCCGTCTTCCCCTTTTGCACTTTTGTATCGAAGAAAAAGAAAAAACACGAAAAAAAGTCAATTCGCATGCCCTCGTGCCGCGTTGTCTGACCGGGGAGAATGAAAATCTGGGGATGAGCTTGGCTGGATGTTATTTTTGTCACCCATGCGTGCCCTTTGTCCCAGGAGCTATTTAGCTTTCCCGCCCATTCAGTGCTCCCCTGGACGACGGACTACCCGAGCTTGCCAGACAAGCCCGAGTGATAGGACTTGGCAGGGTGCAAGCCAGCGACAAGCTCCACACCCAGCCCCAAGTGGAACCCAGCTGGCTTGGATGTTTTGACGAGTACTACCGATGTCGCTGGGGGAACGTTAGCCCCGTTTTGCGGCGGGAAAAAGAGAGAAGTGATGTTTGAGAATCTCTGGTTATACCAATTACAGTCTAGAGCAGCCTTGCTGTGGCACTAGAATATCGGGTGATACCGCGATCCTGCAGCAAAGCCCCCCGCTCTCGGAAAAAGAAAAGATAGTCAAACGACTAGGGAAGAAGAAAAAGAAAAAGAAAATAAGAAGGCTGGGAGCAGTATTTGCTTCTGGGACCTTGAAAGGGCGGGCTCCCTGGTAGGAATA